AACGTGTTACCACGCATTGCCACATGGGTTACCATGTACTAATTGTTTTATAATATGGCTTTTCTATTACGAACAGAACACATTACCACGCGTTACCACGCGTTACCATACGCGTTACCATGTACTAATTGTCTATTTGGCTTTTCTATTACTAAAACAATGCATTTCCATGCGTTATCAAATTGGACGAGAAACCATCGGTTGAAGAGAGCAAACTCGTGAAAATTGAAGCTGAGTTATGTAAAGTCCGTGCAGATTATAAACGCGAAACCGATGAAAAATTGAATGCCAAATATAGTGAATTGTCGCTCGAACATGAATCTACTAAATTTGTTCTTGAATCTAGACTAAAAGAAGCTGAGTTTAAACTAAAAGAAACTAAATCTGAAGTTGGTAATCTAAAAGAAAATATCCAGAGTTTAAAATATTACAATAATTTTTTATTGGATATTTTACAGTCGAATGAATCCATTTGGTCTAAACCGAAAAGAACGTGCCCAAGCAAATCAGTCCTCGATCGAGCTGAATTGTCTATTCTAAACACATTTGGACCTCTCGAGGCTGACGAAACTAACGTAGTAGAGAGGGCAACATGTAATGAAGTCGATGCTACATGTAGTTCAACAAATCGAGACGAATCAGTTGTCATTGAAAATGAAACGACAAATTTTGCGGTTGATGAAGTCACTCGAGGCGAAACAGAGCCGCAAGCTAATGTTAGTCCCAGTGGAGAAATTCAGGTCAACAATCAAAGTATAAACCCGGCAAACCCGGCACAAGGCCACACTCTGGAGGCAAATTCGAATTCGAAGTCGATTAAGGATGGGGGATGTTTAACATCGAATGTTTACGAAGACCAGGTAACCGATTATCGAAACTCCCAAAAGCGAAAGTTTAAAGCAAGTAAGAAAACACTGCTTGTCGGAGACTCTATGACTAAACACATCTGTAATCAAAAGATTGGTAGAGCGTGTCGAGGATCGTCTAAATGTTACACATATAGCGGAGCTACCGTAAGTACTCTAGAAACTAAGCTAGACTCCATAATGGCTAATGAGTCGTTTTCAAGTTTGATTATCCACGTTGGCACCAATGATTTAGTGCACAAACCAGCTGAAGTAGTTGCAGGATAATATACCTATTTCTAGTGTGATCATGAGAAACGATGGTCGAGTGAACGCAGAGAAAATATTTTTGCTAAATCGTATTATAAATCAATGGTGTATTAACAAAAATGTGCACTTCATTGATAACTCAAATATAAACTGTACACATTTGAATAGATCTAATTTACATCTTAATAAAGCAGGAGATAGGGTATTAGGAAAAAATATCTGTGCATATTTAAAGTTAATAAGAATAGGATATGTAAATCCACCTCGAAATGAGCTTGTAAATTCGCAATTCATTTTTTATACAAACAGAAGAAGTCTACGAACAAATATCTGCCTCTGATGAGGGTAAATCATTCAGCGACGTGGGAAGCTCACCTAAATCGTGTAACATACATGACAAGGAAGCGATGAGCTTGGAGAATCTGCAAAATGAGTTCTCTGGTACTGCTCCAGTAATAGATAATACATGCATGCTTGATATAAATTCAGAAATAAATAGTCAGAGTACGTGTGATAAATCTCCCAGCAATTACGATCCTTTATC